TATTATTATTATTATTATTATTATTATTATTTACTGTATACCTGATACCATACCCCCTATTTGAATTTTATGTCGAGAGTAAAAGTTCAATGAATATTTTTCTTACTAAAACAATATAAATAATAGAGTAGCATTATTTCCTAAAAAGATTTAAAAAAATAGAATGTGACAGTCCTGAAGTAATTACTTACAGGCAGCTGCAAATTTCAAAATAGTGGTTATTTAACTGGACATCAAAAGTTAAAAACTTCAGAATTATGTATTATGTTTTAGTAATACAGTTGGGGTGCAAAAGATATAGAATTTTTATTTTATCGAATCCCTGGCGCATTCGCCAAAATATCCAATGATCATTTCAATTACGTTAACTACACATTTATTGTTTTTATATTTTTCTGATTGAACGAAAATTAATTTGAAAGAAATTAGTAATAATATTCATCAAAAATATTATTTTTTTATACAGTTTGGTACTAGTTCACAACTTTACTATTTATTGATGACAACTCATGTAACAGGGAACGTGTAATAAATAAGGACATTTATAACATCGTGTCTCAAACCTACATATGTATGTTGATTTGAACTTTGACGATGGTTAAATTTTGATCAAAGAATCACGTGGACAATTTTGTAAGTGGAATACTGTAACACTATGAATAACACATTCAATGATCAATTCTGTTTATAACAATATTGGGCAACACTTTTTCGAAATATATCAATTGAAATACCTATAAGTAAACAGTGTTTCGTTTATTAAAGTGATTAGATTAGAAATGGTTGGTATAAGTACTTAACTTTTTAAATACGTAGATTATAAAATTTATCGGATAATGTAAACGTTTTCCTTTTTCATATTCTATTTTAAATGCAAAAATATCAATTTATTAAAACATCTGCTAGGCTATTTGAAACGGTTACCCACTTATATTATTTTTAGCTCGTCTGCGACAACGTTTCCTCATTTCCATTATATTGTCATTCTTTCTAAACAATAAGAAACGTTAAAGGATAAAAGGATAGTATAATTAAATCAACCGTCTCAAAACCACGATATTGTCCCGCTATTTAGTTTTTAAAAATAATTAAAATTATTTTAATATCTGTAACCGTCATATTTCATCTTGATTAATCTTAGAAGAAAGAAAAATGGTTTCTAGAAGATTAATAAATTAATCTGATTAATATTAATATATTATTCATAAGCTCCGAAACAAGAGAAAATATGGGTGATTTTTCTGATTTAAAAAATATCTTGTATATGTTCCCTCCTTTAAATTTACAGGAAACGTATATTTTTATAAATTTTAATACCTACCGAAAATTAAGCTCATAAAATTTTTTGCAAGTACCTAAGTTACACCCTTGTACTTATAAAATTGCATTAAAATTACATTTCAGTTGTACGCGTTAACTGTAAGTCAGTTTAATACCTTTTGTAGTGATTTATGATGCGCTATATTGCTGCTGCACGAGATGACAACAATTGATTCCTAAGCTTTGTTCTCAAAAACTATGAAAAGAGTTTCAGACTCATTTTCTTTTCCATTTTAATGGCCCAGTTCTTTTATAAACGTCAGTCCGTCATGTTGAGGGTGGGTTGGGTACGTACTCGTTGTTTTTCACAAATGCACAACTTCAAGATGCATTTTCTACCTATTCACTCCAAGTATTGATCATCCTTTAAATCATTTACAGATTTTTAATAATAACCTCGTTGTTTTCTGACTCAATGATTTGGAATTTTGACACATTTATAAGGATACACTACATACTTTTTTAATTAATTAACCTAGGGAAAATGGGGTCACTTTTGCACAGTATATTCTTTTTCTCTCATAACTTGCTTTTCCTAACTAAAAGCTCATTTTCCTCAACATCAAAATAATTTCTCTCATAAATAACTGTGACTTCAGACCATTCATTTTTACTTAATTCTATATATTCTATAAATAACAAGTTATGTAGATAAATTACAAGACTTTCAAGTTCACTTAGTCGTAAACATATTTTTCCCATTTCATTAGGTATTTTTGGAAGTGAATTGTCGGTAGTCAGATTACGGTACTTTCATTATCCATATATCAATTAATCTTAACAATCAAATGTATAGTCCTTCCGAAGTCAGTTGAATATGCAAAAAAAAACGTCTGGTAATAAAATTTAATTAGTTTCATAGGCGTCCGTACAAAAATTTTCTGCTAAAGGTAAAAAATTGTAATAATTTGTTTATAATGTGTAGAAAATGTCTATTATATGTTCATCTGGCCAACAAATATTTTAATTATTTATGTCCTCAAACAATTTTATTATATTGGTGGTAAATTTTGTTTTGTTCCGTTTCAAAAGGTCTCCAAAATGCCATGCTGTGATAATATAAGTAAACAAAATATCCCTCTTATTTCTCCCTTTCACAATTGTAATATGAATGATTGATAGAAGGTGCCTATAATAAATTAAAATTGCCTGATTCACACCAAATTCCGCACTGCAGCACTGCACTGCTAGGCAATTTATGATCGCCTGTTGTGATTATTGCCAGAAGCCCAATACAGTTGTGTTACATTTCGTTTGCCCGCGCTCGCATTCTTCAACTGGTCGTATACATTTCAACAACCTGCACGTTTAGTTCGAACAGACCTATATATGGGTATGGCTAAATAAATATGGGAACAAGTTTTTCAAATATTTCAATGCCGAGTTGCTGCTTAGCGACCGAGTCTGGTACATAGTTTGAAATTATAGGTTCTTCAATTGACTTTGGAAAAACTATACTATCAACAAGATGGAGCACCTACTCGTAATGGAAGACAGATATCTGCGTGGCTCGATTTAGATTTTCCAGAACGTTGGATTGGGAAAAATGGACCTATTATGTAGCCTCCCAGGTTCCCCGACCTCAACTCGCTTGATTTTTTTTACAGGGATCATATGAAGCAACTGGTGTATGCCAAAGCCAGTAACACGAGAACCGCTTTACTTCAAAAATTTAATGCAGCCACCGAGCATATTCAAGCAACCCTTGATTTGCGAAGGGTTTACAATTCCTTGGTCAAACTATGTCGGGCATGCATTGAAGTAAATGGACAGTATTTCGAGAATTTTTATTGAAATAATTGTTTTCTATTTTTATTTTATTTTTTATATTGTCATTTTGCTAACATAATTTCGTTTATGTGACATAATTTTCAATTTTATTTTTAGTTTCCCTATACGTAAACAGATATTAAATAATTCATAGAAAACCTGTTCAGTTTCTTCATATTCATTGAGCCGCAGCTACAAGGGAAACTGTACCTCAACGGTAAACAACTTTGTTTTTTATAATGACTAGATAACAAGAAATAAAATCTTTACATGCAATTTTCTACGAACTAATGCAATCGATACTTTAGACCCAATTTACTCGAAAACGGTTCATTTTTCAGCTATGAAACAAGAGCACATTTTTTGTTCAGAATCGACTGCAGATTTAGGAAAACGTAATCAAATTACATAAAACTAGGATATGTAAAAGTTATGAAGACATAACCTTGAGGACATGTTGGCTTAGGCCGCCCCTGGCGTCAGATCGAAATAAGCACCATGTAGTTTTAATGACCTTAGATATACACTTCACCCAAAAACAACTTAAATCCCCCGGAAAGTTTTTATTATTTTTTTTCTAAACACCCTGTAACTCAGTGAGAGTGCATCGCAGAAAGATATTCTGGTCTAGCTCTTGGTAAAGTTTTGTACATTCACACTGGGACACCCTGTATAGATCAAATGATAATTTAGTCTATACATATACAGGGTGTCCCGAAATTCATGCAACAAAATTTGGTCATAGATTCTTAAGACAAATTTAAAGGACCCGTATTTTTTCTTTTTGCCAACTGGCCCCCTCCTTCGGAGTTACAGCCCCCTGAAATCTGCCCCTAAGAAGTCTTTTTTATATCTCAAAAGCATGATGTACGAGAATCACTAAATTTGGTGCACAGGGGTTTTATAACATGTGAAATCTCACAATGCTACGCTTTTTGGCGAGAAACCCCCTTAAGACACTTTTTCGTGGGGTGAGTTTTTATTAAATTATTAGTTATCTAGAAAGGCATTGAATTTAGAAACTTTTTCGTCTCTTGATATTGTTTCGTAAAATGCAATGTTTTTGAGAAAAATGGTGAATCACGATATGCATTCGATCACATTTTAAAATTTTTCTCGAAAACATTGCGTTTCACGAAAAAAGTATAAAGTGACAAACAGTTTCTAAATTTAATGGCTAGTGGACTGATAATTTTTAAGAAATTTAAATATGCGACCAAATGTTTTTGGCACCAATGAACGTAGCACCATCAGATTCCACGTCATAAAACTCCTATGTACCAAATTTAGTGATTCTCGTACAACAGGGTTCCGAGATATAAAAAAAAGATTATTCTTAGACGCGGACTTCAGGGGGCTGTAACTCCGAACGAGGGAACCACTTGGCAAAAATAAAAAATATGGGTCCCCTAAATTTGTCTTAAGAATCTGTGACCAAACTTTGTTGCATGAATTTCGGGACACCCTGTATTTAGATACGAAAATGGTTTGTTGGATTGTCTTCATATCGAACTTATTTTATTTGGATGATACATCTGTAGGTACTAATTTCATCGTTTTTATATAAGATAAAAGATATGAAGATGATCATGATTGTTTGAGGCATTTTAATTTTAAATACATGGTGATGAGAATTGATTTGACTGTTCTCTAGATAGTAAAAAATACAATCATATTTTATTTGTTTGGACATCTAGACAAAAATGACGATGACGATTCATCGAATGGCTTTCCGTGTGAGATCTTGTTCAGTTTCAATGATTAATCTAGATAAAACGTGACAGTAATGGCGATGAAATAGACTGTCTTGTTTTCTATATATTACAAAGTATATTCACACTTTATCTAGATGATTGATCTATCTATGTACCTGTAAAACAACATAGATAAAATGTAATAGTGCAACTCACCCTCCTGCCAGTCGATGGCCGAATTGAAGTAGGCCCCTATGGAGCAGGCATCCACGACGGCAATCAGCAATAGATGAATGCCGATGCACAAATCGGCGACGGCCAGATTGCACATGAGGAATTTGGACACTGTTAACCGGAAATGTGATGTGGCGATAACGATGACCACAAACAGGTTGCCGATGACGGCCGAGAGGGAGATGAACCAGACGGGAACGCGCAGTGCCCAGTTGCCCATTAGGTCTTCGCAGGGGTTGAAGGCATCAGGAGCGGGGTGACATTTTACCTGAAACACCAAATTTGTCCGATTCTTTTAGTCTGGTTTAGTTCTTGCAGCTGCCGTTTGTCGAGAAATTCAATGAGGCGTAATTAATTTAAATATAGCAACAACGGGAACATTCTAATTATCCAATATTTTGTCATGTGTAATATCATCATTTTACTATTCAAAATAATGTTGATATTTTTTATTGCAAACCTACAGACATAAGACACGCATTTTTTCCGCTTAGTTTTTCTTTATTTTATGTAAATAATTGTAGTTGTTCTTATTTTAAACTATGTTCTTTATGCATGTTTTTTAAGGTTTTTTTAATCTGTATATTTTTCTTTTATGTATTTGTAACCTATAATATTGTATTTTCTGTTCTGTAATTGGATTTCTCTCTGGACAGTGTAGTAAATAAATAAATAAATAAATAAATAAATAAATAAATAAATAAATAAATAAATAAATAAATAAATAAATAAATAAATAAATAAATAAATAAATAAATAAATAAATAAATAAATAAATAAATAAATAAATAAATAAATAAATAAATAAATAAATAAATAAATAAATAAATAAATAAATAAATAAATAAATAAATAAATAAATAAATAAATAAATAAATAAATAAATAAATAAATAAATAAATAAATAAATAAATAAATAAATAAATAAATAAATAAATAAATAAATAAATAAATAAATAAATAAATAAATAAATAAATAAATAAATAAATAAATAAATAAATAAATAAATAAATAAATAAATAAATAAATAAATAAATAAATAAATAAATAAATAAATAAATAAATAAATAAATAAATAAATAAATAAATAAATAAATAAATAAATAAATAAATAAATAAATAAATAAATAAATAAATAAATAAATAAATAAATAAATAAATAAATAAATAAATAAATAAATAAATAAATAAATAAATAAATAAATAAATAAATAAATAAATAAATAAATAAATAAATAAATAAATAAATAAATAAATAAATAAATAAATAAATAAATAAATAAATAAATAAATAAATAAATAAATAAATAAATAAATAAATAAATAAATAAATAAATAAATAAATAAATAAATAAATAAATAAATAAATAAATAAATAAATAAATAAATAAATAAATAAATAAATAAATAAATAAATAAATAAATAAATAAATAAATAAATAAATAAATAAATAAATAAATAAATAAATAAATAAATAAATAAATAAATAAATAAATAAATAAATAAATAAATAAATAAATAAATAAATAAATAAATAAATAAATAAATAAATAAATAAATAAATAAATAAATAAATAAATAAATAAATAAATAAATAAATAAATAAATAAATAAATAAATAAATAAATAAATAAATAAATAAATAAATAAATAAATAAATAAATAAATAAATAAATAAATAAATAAATAAATAAATAAATAAATAAATAAATAAATAAATAAATAAATAAATAAATAAATAAATAAATAAATAAATAAATAAATAAATAAATAAATAAATAAATAAATAAATAAATAAATAAATAAATAAATAAATAAATAAATAAATAAATAAATAAATAAATAAATAAATAAATAAATAAATAAATAAATAAATAAATAAATAAATAAATAAATAAATAAATAAATAAATAAATAAATAAATAAATAAATAAATAAATAAATAAATAAATAAATAAATAAATAAATAAATAAATAAATAAATAAATAAATAAATAAATAAATAAATAAATAAATAAATAAATAAATAAATAAATAAATAAATAAATAAATAAATAAATAAATAAATAAATAAATAAATAAATAAATAAATAAATAAATAAATAAATAAATAAATAAATAAATAAATAAATAAATAAATAAATAAATAAATAAATAAATAAATAAATAAATAAATAAATAAATAAATAAATAAATAAATAAATAAATAAATAAATAAATAAATAAATAAATAAATAAATAAATAAATAAATAAATAAATAAATAAATAAATAAATAAATAAATAAATAAATAAATAAATAAATAAATAAATAAATAAATAAATAAATAAATAAATAAATAAATAAATAAATAAATAAATAAATAAATAAATAAATAAATAAATAAATAAATAAATAAATAAATAAATAAATAAATAAATAAATAAATAAATAAATAAATAAATAAATAAATAAATAAATAAATAAATAAATAAATAAATAAATAAATAAATAAATAAATAAATAAATAAATAAATAAATAAATAAATAAATAAATAAATAAATAAATAAATAAATAAATAAATAAATAAATAAATAAATAAATAAATAAATAAATAAATAAATAAATAAATAAATAAATAAATAAATAAATAAATAAATAAATAAATAAATAAATAAATAAATAAATAAATAAATAAATAAATAAATAAATAAATAAATAAATAAATAAATAAATAAATAAATAAATAAATAAATAAATAAATAAATAAATAAATAAATAAATAAATAAATAAATAAATAAATAAATAAATAAATAAATAAATAAATAAATAAATAAATAAATAAATAAATAAATAAATAAATAAATAAATAAATAAATAAATAAATAAATAAATAAATAAATAAATAAATAAATAAATAAATAAATAAATAAATAAATAAATAAATAAATAAATAAATAAATAAATAAATAAATAGATAGATAGATAGATAGATAGATAGATAAATAAGTAAATAAATAAATAAATAAATAAATAAATAAATAAACACAAATCAATTAAGTAGATCCACAGTCAATATACTGTCGTAGAGGATCAGCTGATGATAGAGACACGTTTTTGTCTCAAAAACGTCTACCAAACAGAGGAATATTTGTTAAATTGTTCTAACGTGTTCTCAACGCTAGCAGGTTTCGATAAATATTAAAGAACGATGTGTAGCTGAGCAACTAAGTGTGTCACTGGACGGTACACACAACCCTATGGAGGCAGTTACTGTATTCATATCACTTTCAGAGGGTTCAAGTATTTGTCCCCTAATATTTTTCAGTGTAGGCGGATTGTAAAATTAAATCAACAACGAGGCGTATTTTAATAGAAATAGTATTGTGAATTTTCGCATATATTTGGGTAGAAAAAATAATCGTACAGCAGACATTTTTTCTGCATCGGTTTTTGATTGATGTTAATGGACTATTGTACTTGTTAGTGACATTAATAATAATCCATCTGTGTTATCACGAAAACTTACAGGCGACGTTTATTGTAACTTTTGGTTGAGGAAATAGCTTTAATGAACTCGCCAGTTCGTTCAGTATTTAAATAATACCTCAAATCTGACTGACTGGATAGGAAGAAATGGGTCTCGCACCTAGCCAAACAGATTTTGGCTAACTCCTGTAGTTTATGCCATGGAAGTTGAAGAAAGATGATTTTTAGCAGTGGATTAAATGCAACATAATAAATAATTGTAAAGGTATTTTCTAGGGAGTTCGCCGCGAAAACCAGGAATGTAAGTGCCGAAAACAATTTTATATACCGGAAGAGGCATTTATCTTGAGACATAATAACATCTCGGTTGGACTCGATTATTTCGAGAATAGTTTTAGACAAAAATTGCAGGGCACCGAGGGGGCAATTGAAAGGTCCATATTGCGACTTCCGGTTTAGACCGTAAGTGGTGTTTTTAGACCGGACGTTGATTTTTTTTAATGGAAATGCAGATTCTTTGTGGACACTGCAATTTTCTGTGCAGATATTCAGGAGTACTACTGACCAATATGTTGGGAGTAAGGCTTAATAGATGCAATCTCCGAGTGTTTACAAGGTTAAGATAACCGTTATTTCGAATTAAGTCGCTCACATCTCGTTCAAATTTTGTAACATCGTACGCAAACCTAAAGCAACTGTTCTGAATTCTCTGTAAACGTATTATATCAGTACTTAGTAGGGCTGGTCCATAAACGCAATCGCAATATGACAATTTTGAAAAATTAAGAGAAACGCATATGTTAATTTTTAACTTCGAGCTCATTATACTCCTATGAGGATAAAGTTGCTTTAACGTATTATAAGATGAGCGACAAAGAGTATTTACATGTTTAGTGAATCAAACGAGAGCCCCAGATTTTTACAACTATCAGCAACGTCTAACACAGTGTTACAAAATTTAACAATGATCTGAGATTTTACACTGCATCTTTTCTTTTTGGGACTAAATACTAAGACCTTGGACGAATTTGGATTCAATTGTAACCTGTGAGCGGCTGAGATACTAATAATGTTAAATTGTTATTGATGACATTATTTGAAGAGTTTGCATCTCCTACAGGAAAACTGTAATAAACTTGTGAATCATCTGCGTAATGATAGCTCTGCACGTGTTTAAATATTTATAAAGGTCGACATAAGGAAAACAGCAGAGGCCTCAATAAGGACCCCTGTGATCTCCCGGTCAGATAGCTACGAATGTAGGAGGAAGCGGTGATGTCAAAGCCAAAGTAAGTGAGTTTATCGCATAAAATATTGTGGTCCAAGATATCAAACTCCTTGCTGATGTAATCTAAAAGAATGAGACATATAACTAGATCTTTGTCTGTAACTTTAAGGATTTCGTCAGTAAAATGTACCAAGACAGTAATTGTACTGTGCAACGGCCTAAAGCCAGACTGAAAAGGGGGAATTATATTATTATCATCAAGAGCAAATGGTGATATCTGTGATTTGAATGCTAATTCAATCAATTTGGAAATAGTAGGCAAAATGCTTATCGGTCTAAAATGCCCCAGTTCAGATGGATTAGGTAATAAGTAATAATTAGATAAAATCGCCGTAAAAACAGAAAAAACAAGAATCTTGTGACAATAGAGTACTTTGTTGGGATCACTTTTTTGAAAAAATGTTTCATACAAAAGTTGTAGGGTGAAAAGGGGGCTATCTTGACATGACCTTGAGCTTGACTTCAAGGTCGTTTTAAGATCAAATTCAAAATTCTAAATGGAAACCTT